AGCCAGTTCCACTCAGTAAGTCCTCAGTTGAAGCTTTACTTCTCTTAGCACAGAGCTCTCAAATACACAAGAGTATTAATTACAGGATTAACATCACTGGTAATGTAACTCATAACTCATAATAGATTGTTATCGATGCCTATTAAAACATATAATATTATGATAATTAACTCAAAAAGTGATACGCCCAACCAAAGGACAAACAGTAAAATCGCTGAACACCGGTAGTTCGGTTCAAATCCCAGCAAATGAGCTGGCTGCATGGACGATTTTTGTGATTTTTCCATTGTGTAACATGTATAGGAGCCATTTCATCTTAGACAGTCTTCCATGAAGGCATTCCTCTTTTGGCAGATAGCCCTCGAGCGCTTTGTCGAATAAACCAAACTAAAAAGAAATGTTTCAACCTAACCACAGATATTAAATTTTAAATTTGGTTCTTAGGCTATGAAATTATTTGAATGGACATGAAGGAAGAATACCATAAAAACTGCACATATAATGTTAATAAGATGTGAAAACTGATTTCAAGAAATAAATACATATACTAGCCTTTTTAGTAAAACCCCAATCATAAGTACCTAATGAATTTTAAAATAAATGGTAATCAGTACCTAATTTAACATAGCTCATCAGTCCTTAGTCGTAAATAACGCCCACTAGCAGCCGCATGATGATTGCGACAATTTTATAAAAAGGTATTTACATTTTTCTTCTGCTAACAAAAACTTTTCAGAAATATTTACTCTTACCTACTGAGAATTTTATTTCCCAACCGTTTCGAAATTTTATAACAGTAAAGTATTTATAATCAAATATCATTTGGACCCTTTTTATTAGCTAATACTTTCAGTAAAATGGAAATATTTTGCTTAGGGTAAAAAATGCATCATATGATTTCATGTGCATTCAGTACTTTATTTTATCAATGACAAAAAGTGATTTAATCTTATACAATATTATTTGCGAATGATTTTTATATCATACCAAGAAAATTTCTCAGTAGTTCTTTTTAGATGAGAAATCAGGAGAGTAAAGCTAATTTTTCTTTAACTCTTTCGCATCGCCACATGTCAATCATTCTTTTGAAGATACTAAAAGTAGCTTCCTTGTTTCCTTTGTTCCTTCCTTTCCTTTGTTTACTGTCAGTGTTTAGCTTTTGATGCCCGAAGTTGCAATCCCGTCCCAAGGGGAAACTTCACACAGTGTCAAAGCTTCGAAGAAAGAAGTTCTCGCTTTACTTAAGTAAGGCTATTGTTAGTGCTGTAGTATTCAACTTGTCATGGGGAAAGGAAAAGCATTCCAGGAGAAATTCTTAGATACGGGCGTTTTCGATGTTTGGGGAATTGAGATTTTGCCTTCTCTCGATGTGAAAGAGTTAAGGAAAAGCCCCTTGTCTTCATATTTTAAAAATAAAATGTCCATACTTCACATTCACTCAACTAAATGCATTTCGATACAAACATATAAATGATACATTAGTTTAAAATGGAATTACACGACCTGAACTTTCAAAAATCTCATTTTTATTTCAGAACAATTATTCAAAATATATATTGAAGTAACTATTTTTGTGAAATGTTATAGTAATTTTTAAAAATACAGTATTTTTAATCAACGCGCACAGCTAAAATAAAAATTACCTCAAATTTCTGTATTTCTACAGTCATCGTAAGATAAGTGTTTAAGTATTTATTTTATGCTAAAAAGAAATTATCTGTAAATTAGGTGATGCTAAATTCTTTAAAAGTTACTCATGGGTTCCGTACAAATTACATTTATTTTCGCAGAAGAAATTTTGTTTCGCATACACACAGCTTTCGTTTGAAGATTTTTCAGTATTTTCCAGTTTCAGCACGAAAATCGCCCTCGGGTCAGCATATGGTATGGCTGGATTTCAGGTTTTTATTTATGACCCTCCTATTATAACAACTTTCTCTAACGATCTCTTTCCCCACTACCAATTAAGTGCAACAGAAGGTCAGGGGAATGACAGTACAGAATATTCCATCCTCAACGATTTAGAGGCGGAAAATGTGAGGCAAAAAATAATCATTTGAAATGCTTTCATATCCATAAGGAGGTGACAAAATAATTCGTGTGTGACGATTTGGAAAACCCTCTTTCAATACGGAAAAATCCGTCAGTAACGCTGAGAGGGTAAATACAACTTACAATGACCCCCGTACTTATACGATACCCATTGTCCAGAACAAATCTACTAAATACATACTTTTAAGTAGCCTGCGATATAGTGGTAGACACAAAATACGTAAAAGAATGTTCCCTGCGTGTAATGTGTTAATTCATTAGATAACTTGGGTTTCAAGATGTTCATTATGCACGTTATCTTTCATGAAAAGTGCTAGTGTGCATTATCATCCATGAAAAGACAGATGAGATGAAAAGAGAGACCTTTTATAGACACCATGACAATAACATCCTTTAAAGCTTTCGTAGATAATGACACCTGAGAATGTGGTGAGGTAGGTGACCCTGACTATCTCGTCTTTTCATGCACCCTCAGAGCCCAGTACAGGCATATGACAAAAAGCCTAATGACAATTACTGGCCCCAATGGTTCCAAACTACAAAGAGACTAAGACAAGACCAGGTAAAGATCAATGCTGTAATAGATGAATGCATAATATGCATAATAATGTACAGGGCAGAACCCAGCAACAGGAGTGCAAATTTGCAGTAACGACCATAGTGGTCCACTTGAAAGTCCTTAGGGCTCAGTGTATACACACCAGCAGACATTTGCTGGCTGGGCACATCGTATCTCAGTTACTATGGCCAACATTGACTCATCAAACCTTACTAATTTGATCAGCTACCACACGGCTACCTACTTCTGACTGTCAACAGGTAATTACATTGTAATGCATCACCTTCACATGGAGGTGTGCACTAGCACATGAACTACAACACACAGTACATAACTCTCGACTAATGTATACTCGTAAAGCTCCTACACCGTTCTGTCTGTACCCTATTGGTGGTAACCACTAGCATTTCTCTATGTATTGTTTGAATTTCTATATATATAATTGTACCAATGTCATATGAATGTCTATTATTAACTCTATGTAAATCTACGCACTTGTACCTTTTAACCATATGTAATGCAACAACAGTGTAAGTATTTCTATATTCAGTTGTAATCCCCTATTACTTGATTTATGCAGTATGACAATAGAATGTTAGCAACTCTTCAAGGGCCCTGTAACCGTGCTCATGTTGTGAAACCCCTTTTTCTTTTTTAGAAATAGAACATTAAATTTGCAGTCTCCACAGAGTTGTGTTACCGTCGGATGGTCCTGCCGGGTTGGCACTTAATTCCGTATGGGTATACCCAGATATGTCCGGGGCGGAAGCCAGCTCTGCAGTTTATTACCCTTTAAAGCTTATAAAGGATTGCAAGACTTCGCCTTGATAGAATTACATGTTAAATTGAAGCTTTCGATGTTTTATACACAAATTTAAATGTGTTCAATTTAGCAATAAGATCAACAAAATACACATAATAGGCTCTAGGCATATAAAAGCCTTTTACTGCACATTCTTTATATAGTGCAACATGACAACAAAAATTTAAGTGACAGCCATAAGCCTGAAATTCGACATTAGCACTGAACTTCCTGTTGCAAAGAACAGAAACTGATTTCAGGAAGCAGTTTTTACACAAATTTAGTCTTTGTTTTTAGAGGGCAGATCATGGTCTGCATCTAACATTCAGACATCCCACTTTAAAAATTATCTACCTTGCTTCTACATGCCTGACAACTCTCTCCCTCAAAGATTCTTCCAAACGAAACTTCCAGCTTCAGAAAACCACCAAATAAATAAATAAAAAACATTTTTTTGATTATGTAAGCACTCAACTCAAACTCTGAATTGTAAAATTCAAGAGATAATGCAATTTGTAGAAAACTTTTGCCATTTTTTCAGTAGAAATCATTCTATTATTCACATTTTAGAAATGATTGCTCAAATTTATTCCTTGTATAATAATGGTAATTAAGTTGGCCTTACAACTACTCACTTCATAAAAAAACAAATCACACTGATTGGTTATTTCATTAACTATCATTTTTATGTAAATACAGTTTCTGATACAAACACATTTCACACTTTCCAGTTAGGGCCAAGATATTAACATCATCATATAATTAGATGAGATACTATCAGATGTTAAAAAAGGCTGTACTATACAAATTAACATTTATGCTAGAGTGTGTCAAGTCTATTGAAGCATCATCTTCTATTAAAAAATATTAATTTTTAAAAATAGAATCATTATTTATAATAAAAATGCAACATAAGAGTAATTAAAAAACTGGTTTTACTTTGTATTACAAATATTAATCAATTAGAAAGGCTTAAAAAAGACATTTTTAAAGTATGACAATAGTTAGTGGGATATAATGTTCTAGCTAAATTTGTAGTTCTTAGCAGCTAGAATGAATATTTATGAACTGTATAGTGAATTATCGCTGAGTTTATGTGGGAAAGACAAGTCTAAAAAAGAGTTAAATTACCCTTTTAATAATGATTCACAGATTGCCCTTCTCGGGCTTACAGGAAACCTCCACTTGGGCTCTAATTTAAGACAGAAAATAAGAAACAAATCTAATGCTAACCAAACTAATGGGCCATTATTTAAAGCTCATTGGCGGATAGTAGCAAGCATGTAACTATACAACCGAATATAGTAAAATTAGGCTTAAAAACAAAAATGTGTCAGAGAGTACGCTATGCTAAGAACTCTAAGCTCTTCTACTGGAGTGAACGAGACTTTCACTTGGCTCACTTCACTGGTTCTACCTCATTTAGACAAAACACAATCCTGAAAACTCATTCCGACAGAGAATTGTCGGTGGGAAATAAGGAAGTACAGAATAGCTTATTCAAAAATAAAACTATTAATTAGAAAATTAAAATAAACACCTATTTTTTATTTATATATTTTTTTAATCAGAATATGACAAACTTACATTTTCATCATGTATCAACTTGTGATACAATGAAGCAAAACTCTCAAATCCTATTTCACCTACTCTCCTGGCATCAACATCCTGGAAATAATTTCAGAGAAAAATATTACATAATTGAAATATCAGTTATAATTAAAGCACCGATGAAATCTTCACATCTGCAACATACATTAATCAAGGTACAATTTCATTATAGTTCGGCTACAATGAAAAATATTCTCGAATTTTAGTCTAATTAGATTTCACTGGCAAAATAAAAGGTACTCATGTATTAGCACAACCACCTAGGTGCAGCTTGGCAATTTCTTATACATGAGAAAGAATGATTACTTAATGATTAATTGGAAAACAATTATTTATTAAATTATTATTAAAGCATTTATTCCCAAAATCAATAAATAAATCTACTTACAAACGAGATTTCGTTTCTTTTGTTTTGGAACAAATTTCACGGCAATCACTTTACAAACATATTCTAAGCCTATTCTAAGCTAAAGGCATTTTGAATTTTGAACAGATTTCCTTTCCAACTAGGTCCAAAGCCCTTTGGCAACACTGCAACAAAATATTATATTCCTGCAGAAATATAACTGAAATTTCAAAAAAATGTTTTGAATTTAAGACAAAAAATAATGTGCTTTGTCAACGAAAACTGTTTTGGGTATGGTTATCACAGTTCTGCATTTCCTGAAAATTTGGCTAGTTCTACTAAGAAGGTTGTGCTAATACGTAAGTACCAAATAAAATTAATGCATTTACTCAAAAATACTCCCCTATGTTTACCATATTTTTGTTTGAAAATTTAGTGGGATTTTCTAAAGGGGATTTTAATAAATTAAATTGCAGAATGAGAGGAATTATACTACTTAAATACTGAATAAACCACATAGGTAATTGCTGTATATATAAACTGCATAAATACCATTAACTACTTGCGCTAAAAATACATGGCACGCACGTCGAGATGCTTTTGTCTCAAACCGCAAGCGAAGTGAACACCACGTCGATAGGCATTTATCACAAAAATGAAACTAACATGGTGTACACGTGGCCTAACAACGAGATCGTTTATTTCTCGAGTTACAGCTCTGGATTGCACTCGCTGATGCGGAACGGCGTAAATGAGACACTTTACCACTTGTTATATTGTAACGGACGGCACCGCAACCGTGAAGTTTAGTCATAGCACAAGTGGTTAATTATTACACTTTAGTTCTGGGTCTACTACAATGGTCACTCGTATGCCTCAAAACAAACATGTAACAATGTACCAATAACTCCTTAAGATAGCTTTCAGCTTAATCAGAATTACTTCTGCTCTCATCAAATATCCACTTACATTTTTTTTTTTTTTTTTTTTTTTTTTTTTTTTTTTTCCCTAAAAATTTAGGCTAGAATGTAAGGAGGATCTTATATTTAAAAGAATTTTATTTTTGAGTAAACATGATACATTAATTTTTTTAAGTAAAAAAAAAAAAACTATATAATGCAAAACAAAACCAAAAATGATTGTATCTTTTAAATTCACAGTACAAATTCAAACCAGATCATTACAAAATTCAAACAGTATTTTCATTACAATAGTAATAATAATCATCATCTCTCAAAAATTTCTCAAGTGGTATTTGTATTAGCCAATAATAACATTTGCAAGCAATGTTCACGTTTTAACAGTGTATCATTCTTAAAAATTACTGTTTTATTTAGCCTGAATGTTAGCGTCTTTAAGGAACAAATAAATGGGGAAAAGTGTTAAATCATAAATTTGATTATCTTACTAAGATCTTTTGACCTCCTACAGTCAGCATGATATTGAATCTCCAAAGGTACTGACAGCTTGTAATGCATAATAATCTCAGTCATTCATCTGCATGAATGCCTGTAACTATAGTATGTTCTTAACAATATGCACTCATGGTTGTAACGACCTTCCTCTCCTTCGTTTTCATCACCACATAGAGGAGATTAAGCCTCTCGCTGCGCATCCCGCGATTTCCACGGGCAACGTATGTTGGCTTTATGTTTTCCTTATGCAAATTTTGATAGGAGATCTATCGGCGGTAAGCTAACGTGGTTGCCGCTGATTGGCAAAGTATTATATATACATGTACGCCGGTATCGGCGAATGTCCTTTTTTTTTTTTTTACGAGTTAGCACAATGCTAGTTTTTTTTACACTCAAATGGTTTTAAATGTAAAGGCTACACAGTTACCTTCTTTTATTTTAATTTATGGAATAAAGCATGAATTTATTTAGATTAGTCTTAACTTTATTGAAGGGAAGCAAAATATTCTTTGCCTTTATCGCCACTACCAACAGGGTTATGGGCCCAGCGCCAACAGCTAATCTGTCATCCAGTTCAACTTAGCATTGAAGGAATGTAGGTGAAGAAGGCCGTTATCCACGAAAAGAAGCTGACCTGTCTTAGAAGTTTGTTCAAGTTGTTGTGCTCACACTTAATAGATGATGTCATTACTACCTGAAGGTTTTGAGCTGTTAAACCATGACAACTGGGATCGATGGAAAGTTGATATGAAAATGCTGTTAATGGATAGAAATTGTTAGAGCTTCATAGAGGATAAAGAAGAAGAATTAGATAAAAGTGCAACAAGGCAGGAAAAGCAGGAATTCACACTGAAAGAGAATAGAGCCTTCACTACATTATATTATGGAATTAAACCTGAGTTCAGGGCACTGATACAAAAATGCTCAAGTGGTAAAGAAGCATGGGAAGTTCTACAGAAGCAATTCAAACTCAAAACTCAAAACAAGAGCAAGGATAATTCAGTTACTGGATGAATTTTTTAGTATTAGATATATGCCAAATGAAGAAATAGGATTATTCATCGCAAGGATAAGAATGACTGCAAAGAAGTTGGCTGAAGCTGGTCACAACTTGGCAGATCTTTTTAAAGGATATCAGGCAATAAGGAGATTACTCCAGGAATACTCTGGCATTGTACAGTTGATCTATAGATGGAAGGAAGGAGATTTTATGCTGGAAAGAATTGCTGAAGAACTGGTAAGGGAAGAAAGCCGACTTCACCAGGTAAACGCCGATTTAGAAGACAACAAGGTAAGCGTGTTTAATACTATTAGTTCAAATGCAGGGAAAGACAGAGTTGAAAATAAAACTAAATCTAAGAAAAAAAATGGGGAATATGAAAATAGGACCTTGTTTCAGATGTCATAAATTTGGGCACTTAATCGCTCAATGTAAAGAAAATGTAAGTAAAAATCAGAAGTTTAAAATAGACGATAAAAATGGACAGTTTAAAAATAAAGAATTAATGTTTGTAGAAAATTATGTAACAACTAGATAAAGGAGGCAACGCAGATAAATTTAATTGGGTCGTAGATACTGCAGCTAAAAGTCATTTCTGCAATAACAGAAATTTAATGACAAACTTTGAAGAAATAAATGATATACGTATGGCTTCAGTGGTAGGAAATTGTGAAAGTAAAGTACTAGGAAACGGTACTGTCAAATTCGCAGTAAAAGTAGGCAATCGAATAAATTGGATTGGGTTAGATAATGTCTTATATAATCCAAATCTAAGAAGAAATTTACTATCGGGAGCAAGGTTAGAAAAGACAGGTGCTCATTTTGTGATTTCAAAAGGGAAGATGTGGATATACTTTAATAATTGGGATAGATTGTGCTATGCTAAACGATATGATGGACTTTATCACGTAAAACCATTTAGATATGCAACAGATAAAAAGGAAGCTGGTTACAGTACAGAAATTGGAAAGTTAAATAAAGTAGACGATGCAATGCTATGGCATCGGAGATTTAGCCACGTAAATTTTGATTATATTAAGAAAACTAATAAGAATCAAAGTGTGAAAGGGTTACCAGAAATTGGAAAACCAATGGAGAGGTGTGAACCGTGTATTATTGCTAAGTCTAGTAGAATAACTTTTAAAACTTTTCCTAAGAGATCGGATAAATCATTGCAGTTGGTTTATTTAGACGTTTGTGGCCCACTACCAGTTCCATTTAAGTGTGGGAGTAAATATTTCCTTGCTATTGTGGATGACTATAGTAGATTAGTAACAGTGTATTGTATGAAAAATAAAAATAAATCGTTCTACAACTTTAAGAATTATCATAGGCAAATAGAAAGAGGGATGAATAGAAAATTAATAAGTATACGCACCGATAACTGTGGGGAATTCTGTAACAGGCAATTCGAAGGGTACTTAGCTGAAAATGGAATTAGTGTTGGACGCACAAACACGTACACCCCAGAAGAGAATGGTGTGTGTGTGTGAACATTTTAACCGAACAGCATTAGACCGCAGTTAAAGCTATGCTTAATGATGGTAAAATGGAAAAAGAATGGTGGGCAGAAGCTCTTGGCTGTTTCGTACATACGTGGAACAGAGTTTGTCATAAAAGCAACCGAACCTTTTATGAAATGTTCCTAAATAGAAAACCCAGCGTTGTTTATTTTAAAATATTTGGTTGTAAAACCTATGTCAGCATGCCAAAACAGATTAGAAATAAATTACAAACGAGGTGCAAAGAAGGAATCATGGTAGGATATGCAAAGGAAACTAGGGTATGCCTACCAGAAGAACGCAGATTAATAGAAACCTGTAATGTGAAGTTCGATGAGAAACTGAATGTAGCAAATGGCATCCTGGACCAGAAATCAAAAACGAAGTTTGAAAGACTAGAGCAATCTGAGCAATTAGCAGAATCGGATGAAGAACAGGAAACTTCTAGAGAAGAAATAAAGTTGTCAGATGACAAATCTACACTGAAAGAAGTATCAGACCACACCCACTTTAGATCCTATAATGATATTGAAAAGTATTGTGAGGCAAGGAATATTGAATTCGAAAAAGATAAGTTTGATTTTAGTAGAAAAAACGGATACTCGGGGAAAGTTAATTTTGTAGAACAGGAGACTAGCTCTGTGCCTGAAAAGGCAAATTCTGCATAAATTGTTATCCCACAAAATTTTAAAGAAGCACGGAAATCGGTAAATGCCGAAGAATGGGATAAGGCAATGAAAGAAGAAACTGACACAATGAAGAAAAGAAAGGTTTGGGAATTAGTTGAAAAGCCAGAAAATAA